TGGTCTACGTGCTAACCACACGTACTCCCTTAACCCAGCCGCGAGGCAGGGACGTCGCCGGTACGCCTGAGCCCGTTTACGGGCTGTCGTGCCAAGTACAAACATACATACATACTACAAAATAAAGTAAGAAACAACAGTCTCTAATCTCTCAACTTCATTCATTAAATTATTAAAATAATAAAGGTAAAGGTATCTTTGTGCAATTGCACACAGGCCGATGTGACTCACAAGGGAGGCTCCACCTATTCGTCGCCGTCATTGAAATAGTATCTTGATTGTAACCTTTGATATCCATATTTTTAAACTTAAACACTTCTTTTTAACGTAACGAAAATAAATTTCATAAAGAAGTATACTTTAGAGAAAACTTAACTTAGCGCTTGTAAAATAAACTTTGAGAAATTATATTTGCATGGAACGTAACATAATACTAGCACTTTAATCGAGGTTATGGAGAATCACACGAGTTCCAAAGCTACCAGTTAATATTTATAGTATTTTCCGCACTCTCTGTAACGGGCAATGGGAATATTTTATATTATTCTCAATGAACAGCCCCGCCAAACAAAAACGGATTCATGAACTCGGTACGGCTAAGCGTGGCAAGGTTACTGTGAAAAGGTTGAACTTGGTCGCAAAACCTTCTCATTGTGTCCGTAAGAGGGTATTAAATGTTATGAAACTCTCACTAGGAACATGAATCTAGCATTAGTTTTTCAGAAATAATTCAGGAAAGACATCCTTTGGTTATTGTTGGAAAATATTGGGCATTTACACTATGTGATCAAAAGTATCCGGACACGTGGCTGAAAATGACGTACCATTTCGTGGCGCCCTCCATCGGTAATACTGGAATTTAATACAGTGTTGGCCCACACTTAGCCTTCATGACAGCTTCCACTCTCGCAGGCCCACTTTCAATCAGGCGCTAGAAGGTTTCTTGGAGAATGGCAGCCCATTCTTCACGGAGTGCTGCACTGAGAAGAGGTATCGATGTAGGTCGGAGAAGCCTGGCACGGACTCGGCATTCCAAAACATCCCAAAGGTGATCGATGGGATTGAACTCAAGACTCTGTGCAGGCTAGTCCATTACAAGGATCTTATTGTCGTGTAATCTCTGCGCCTCATGCCGTGCAGTATGATCAGGTGCTCGATCGTGTTGAAAGATGCAATCGCCATCTCCGAATTGCTCTTCAACAGTGGGAAGAAAGAAGGCATTTAAAACATCAACGTAGGCCTGTGTCGTGATAGTGCCACACAAAACAACAAGGGGTGCAAACCCCCTCAATGACAAACACGACCACACCATAACACCATTTTGGACGTGTCCGGATACTTTTGATCACATAGTGTATATTTTTTAACGAAAGAACAATGACTTTGTCATAGGTCTTTTGCATAAGTTTTAGTACATGAATTAGAAAGTAAGAAATAGGAAGTATGTGGATGTCTTGATGGGGACTCCGCTGCCAGACAATTGTCGCACTTTGATTGAGAGCAATAGCAATGATTTTTGGTCAACGGTTTTCACTTTGCAAGGGAACTCAAGACGTGAAGCCAACAACTCTATTCCACACCATTGTTTATTATCCTTTAAAAAATAATACAGATTTAAAAGCATTCATAAAAATGAGATTGGTATTAGGCATTCCTGTATAAATGTCTAGAAATCTCTATCATCATCGATGAAAATTGAACGAGAATTACACGTACTTTATTATTTTATTCAAGGGACGTTACATTAGTGTAACTTCCGTTCATAAAATACTTCACAAGTTGCAATAGGTTAAATCATAGCCGATTTTTGTTTAGAGATTTGTTTTACCTTAATCCACTGCTTAGAGGTTGATTATCACATTGCGTTGTGTACTGTTAAAAATACTATAGATTGTTACTCACGTTTCTCTGCAATTTTGTGAGCTGTAGAATTGAACATAACTCTGACCCGGATGAAAGCCTGATTGTGAACTGTTACTCTCTTGATGACCGTTGGCGTATTAGTAGCCGGGAGACCTCTGTTGTCAGCTGTTGTGATTGGATTCGACATTTTATCTCAAGTCTAGTAATCATAAGGCATGTAAGGGTTAAGCAATTAAAATAGATCTGAGTAATAGTGTATTGATTTTATAATAATTCTTCTTGTATGTTCTTTATCAGTGGAAGAAATTTGTTCTGATCGAGTTGAGAATTAATCCTATATTATGAAACAATTTTATCTCAGAGGAAAGAAATTACATTGCTTTGATGAAGAATGAATTAATGATATCGTATGATTTCATTGTTACTTTGGAATTATCTTGATAAATGGTGTTTGTTTTTGTACACTATATTTCTATCCCAATTCTACACATAAGCATCTTTTTGGAATTGTAATTCCAATGACAACTTCAATCTGTTAAAAATTATAATACATTGCTTTTCAAAACTGCTTGACAATTATTGGTATAAATCATTCATCAAGTAACTACTTAATAATCGCAAAACGTTGATAATATGGCAGTGAGAGGTGGATGACCATATTTTTATTCATTCTTTATAAACTGCCTCAGCTTAGCAGGTTATTGTTGAAACATTTTATCGTGACAATAATTTTTTTTTCAGCAAGAGAAACATTATCTTATCATTTCATTGTGTTCCACTCACAACGAAACAAAGTGTTTTTCAGTAATTTTTCCTTAAAGCGTCAAAGTCCGCGTGTCCAGAAGAAAGGACAAACTGATTATTCTGGGCGGGGCTACGGTCATCCTACTGACTCGCTTCCTCATCCCCTCCACTGACCCCGCCACCGCCAGCATCCATCCCCTCCCCCCCCCGCGCCCACCCCGTACAAGTACTTGCATTCGCTCTGCTGTTTGCTCCTTATCAGAGTGGAACAGAAAAGTAAATTATGTCCTGGCTTAAAATGAAAACCCAGCTTCGACCTCGTTTAAATAAGAAGTGCTTTAATTTTAAATGTATATTTTTAATTTAATGCGATTAATTAGAGTTGTTTAATCAATATTATCCGTTTTTCAGATAATGATTAAATCATTACTTTAATATCACCTTATATTTTAGGTCAGCACATACGTATTTTTAGGAAAATATTTGAAATTATTATCTTTTTGTGCTTGCTCTTCAAAATTGTGAATTTTTAAAGAAACACAAACTTTTGATTCAGAATAAACTGCCTTGAGGTGGTAGCATTAGTGAAATTGCGAAGACGACGTATGCACCAGTGCCGTGACGTCGGATTTCCTTATCCCCATTCAATCTCCACCAACCCTCTTCGACACCATTTCTATTCCGTGCGTAAGAATCTTCTTCCCGCTCGTCACTATCTACGTGCTCGACCTCTCATCAATCCCTCGTTTCCCTTCAATCTGTTCAATCTTAACCCCTGTATATGCCACTACTACCCATATTCCTTGCCAATATCACGCAAAAGCGTCGTATACAAGAAAAGTCTTGGTGTCGCTACTTGTGTTCCATCCACTGTATTCCCTCCATTCCTCCTTCGGACAGACTCTGCTTCCTCCTCCACCTCCAGCTCGTCCATTGATCTGTTACCGCCTCCGCCCACGCTCAAATCTACGTTTCTCCGGGTAACCGACCCCACTCCTAAGATTTTTATCCCAGTCTCGCCCCCGGCCCCGTTGCTTCCTCTGACCTTCGTCTTGCCTTCGACCGACCTAGACTGCCGACGGCCTTCGCCGCGCCTAGGGCCTCCAGCCCATCCATTGACCTGTTACCGCCTCCGTCCACGCCGCAATCTACGATCCCTCCTGGTAACCGACCCCCCAACCATCTGGCGGGGCTCGCTCCACCTCTTCCGTCGCAGCGGCTGCCTCCGCCTCGCGCCCCCGCAGCCGAATGGGACGCCGAGCCGCGCCCGCGCCGCCCTCCCCCGCGCCGACAGGTTCGGGCGCGTCGGTCCTGTTGCGGGCGCGCCGGCTATTCGGCGCGCGTTGCGTCAGGAGGTTGGCGGGGAGGGCCGCGGGGGGGCGGGGCGCGGGCGGGAGGGGACGGGTGGTGGACTCTCCCCGCGCGGCGGAAGCGCAGCGGAGGGACGGGAAAGGGTCGCCCTCTCGCCCTTCGCTCTCCCGCCCTTTGGCCTTCCTCTGACCCTCCGCTCTCCCACCGCTGTCCCTTAGCTCTCTCGCCCTCTAGCCCTCCGCTCTGCGGCCCCTCGGCCCTTCCTTCTCCCGTCCTACGGCCCTTCGCTCCCCCGCCCTCTGGCTCTTCGTTCTCTCGTCCTCTGCCCTCCGCTCTCACGTTTTCTGACCCTTTGCTCTCCAGTCGCTGCCCTTGGTTCTCCCGCCCTCTGGCTTCGCTCACCCATCCTATGACTCTTTGCTCTTTTGCCCCTGGCCCTTCGCTCTCTCGTCCTCACGCTCTCCGCTCCCTCACCTCACTCCCAACGCTGGCTCTTGGCTCTGCCGTTTCTCGCCCTTGGCTTTCCCGCCGCTGTCCCTCCGCCCTCCCGCCTTCTAGTCCTTTGCTCTCCCGCCCTCAGCTCTTCCACCCTCTACTCCTCTGCTCTTCTACCCTCTAGCCGTCCACCATCCCTACCTCTGGTCCTCCGCTCTTCCGCATTCACGTCTTTATACGCTCCGCCCTTCTGCCTCCTAACCCTCCGCTCTCCCGCCCTCTACCCTTCCGCCTTTCCGCTCTCTAACCCTCCACCATCCCTACCTCAGATCCTCTGCCCTTCCGCATTCACATATTTATACCCTCCGCCCTTCTGCCCTCTAGCCCTCTGTTCTCCCGCCCTTTACCCTTCCGTCTTTCCGCCCTCTAGCCCTCCACCCTACCTCAGCCCCTCCGCCCTTCCGCATTCTCGCCCTTCTGTCCACTAGCCCTCCGCTCTCGGGCCCTCCACTCGCACGCGCGGGCCTAGGACGCGTGTCGGACGCACGGCGCCGTCGGGCGCAGCGGGGCGGGGAAGGGCGGGGAAGGGAGAGGCAAAGCTGGCGGCGGACGGCGGGTGGCGGGGCGCCCGCGTGCTGCTGAGTTGGCAGTGCGGCTGCCAACGAGACGTCACCGCAGCCGCGGCGCAGAAGCCGCGAGAAGGGCTCGCACTGTGCGACTGGCCGCCGACGGGAGTCGACCGCAAGCCCCCTGGGCAGTGCTGTGTGCTCAACGCTCTAGAAAGTACCGCTGAAGTACCGACGTTCGGGACTGTGAGACGGAATCTTGATCTTTAGTGCTGTGCTAAAGTTTTTGCTTTGAAAAGGTGAGCTGTGAATTAATCTTTTACAGAGTTGTTGACCTCTGTGATCGACGATGTCGATTGATTACATTTAGCCTATGTACGCAAAACAGTTTGAAATTTTAATTTCTAAAACAAATTAATTATTCTTCCAACGTAATGTCCCTTGTTTTTTGAAATAATCAAACGAGGAAATCATTTGAAAATTGACACATTAGTAAGGTAAATATAGTCAGTGGTGTTTGTCAAAGTGATCCTCGTTCTATTTTTAATCGTCCTTGAGTAAATGTAAACTGAAACTCTCCTGCGAAGTGATCTATCTGTTCAGAGTACGTTTCTTACAGTGTGGTGTTGTGATAACGATAGTTGTCAACATGAAAGTTCCTGTGAATCAAACAGTAACCCATCGATGTTTCCGCTGAAGGGAATTTTATAGAATAGTTTTACATTTTATATTTACCTGACAATCTTAGACAAATGTCTTATTCTTTCAGTTTTAACTGCAAATATATTACTTTTTCAGTAGTAGAGAATATTGTCGAGTAAAAATGTTCGATCTTTTTCTCTTCAGGAAGTATGTGAAAAGTCCAACTATTTATTTGTGTAAATGGAAGTTACCACTGCAGCTCAAAACGCAGTCCTTTTTTGCAAAAAAAATTCCATTCATTCCGAGTGTATTATTTATTGTTTCTCAATGATCAGTTTGGTTATAACTTTTGAAAGCTTTTTTTTCCTTGTGATGCATGCCGTGCTGTTTTGTTCATTGTCTGTCTTTACAACAGAATATGTTATTGATGTTTTCTTTTCGCTAATTCTACTCCTTATAATAATATTTTTCTAATAGCGGTAAAATTTAGATATTATTTATCTAGTTCTTGTAAATTACTTTCGAAATTCAAAGCAATGAGAAGTTACTACTTTGAGTCCAATTATACACCTACCTCCCTATAACTCTTCACTGAATATCTAGTTTTGTTTTCGTTTCATAATCTAGTGAACGAGGCTCTAAAAGCAAATGGGTTTAATTTTTATTAATTCTACATTAAACTCATTAACCGAACTGAAACTGATTTCTGTACATGACCCATCTATCATAAATATCTAATTCACGCACAAATGTTCTGAAATCAACGTAAATTAACGTAATTTCAAATAATAATTCGCCCTTATGTCAAAGCATGTCATTGTTTAAAAAAAAAAACTAAAATGATTTTCCCTTATCCAGAAGGACAGTAATTGTAAATTCATGTTACCATTTTCAATCTTAACAGGAAATTTTTGTTTATTTTGTGAAATAAACATAACCTTAATTAACGAAAATAATTTGTTTAGTTTTTAAATACATAAAAGCAGCATAAGGTAATAAGTAATATTGCAAAACACACTATCCCCAACAAATAAACCGGATGTATTTTGATTACCTGAAAATGTCGTTCTCGAATTCTGCATGAATTCTCAAGGGCAAACTTAATTTTCTGTCATTTGTTGAATGTAGTAAAAGTTCTTGAACTGGAACACTAGGAATTACTTGGTCATGCAGCACCGTCTATTCATCTATAGAAAATAAATATCTTAAAAGTATAGCCAAAATTTCCAATTTGACATGTCTGTGCAGTGCCATCTGTCGGAAGGCATAATACCTCATCAATCTGGCATGACACGCTTCAAAGAAATGCAAGTTTCTTCATAGTTACCTAAAGATTCAATTTCTCTCCAAATAACAGACACAACTGGTGGTTTTTAAGCTAAAAATCAGTTGAAAAATAAAAGAACAACAGGCTCGAATTTAGAAGAACCCAAAATAGACCAATGAATATTATTCATATTAGAGCATCCGCTTCTTTTCTGTCACCTTGTCGAACGCGTCTGCTGTGCGTATGTACCAGCGGATTCGCAGAATTAGCCAACGGGGCTGTTCGCGAACGAAAACATGTCTTACGTTGGCACCGATCCAGCCGAGGCGTTTAGAACCGGAGAAAAGATTTTAAAGGGAACAGTCGTTAGGGCGATCCACTCCGCCGAACACTAATTCTCGCTAAAGCGAATTTATTGCGAAGCGAAAAGTAGGCCGACGACATTTTGCGCTCTTGCGACACCGGGCAGCGGACGGCGCCGAGGCCAGCCCTGAAGCAGGTCAGTTCGCGGGCGGGCGGGCGCCGCGAAAAAATCCGCGGCTGTTGTTTGGGCGCGGAGGCTGTGTATGTCCCAACGCGTTGGACAGCCGCCACGGGAAACGCTGAATGGCTGTCCCGGCGTAGACGACGCTAGCGCCCACGCGGCCGACTCGCGCGTCACGCCGCGCGACGCCGTACGACGGCGCCATCTTGCCCCTGGTCGCGCCGCGCCAACTGTGGTATTCGGAAAGGAACGCTTCGAAGTTTCGAAACGTCTCAGATGTGAGGTTCGCGACTGTTCTCGAGCAGGTCTAGCACGTCATGCTACTCGCTGGTGGATCGTTTACCGCTGCTCTCCTCTGACAAACGGCTGTTAGTATGACAACAACCACTACAGTCCTTCTTAATCCAGCTAATTCTGTTTACTTTCGCTGAATCGATAAGGAGTCGTATCAGACCAGAAGTGTCTAAAAAGAATTTGTACATTTATTCATATTGCAGTAATAAAAACGGTAATGGAATAATTTGTTTATTTTGATTTATGGAAAAATAAAACATTATGGAATTCTATTTATCAACAGATATACGGTACTTATTTATAACGGAAAAATATACTTATGAAGCTTAAAAAATGGCAGGCAACCTCCCACGTCGTTTTACTTAAGAATCGTGATTGAAATTTGAATGTAAACAATACGTCTCAAGATAGTTTGAGTTTCCGGATGTATCGTCTGACGATTTCAAGGTGTCCCGTCGAGACAAATTCCCTTCCTATAGAGAAGTAGCCGAGGGAAAGAGGGGAGGAGCGTTCTGAAATGGCGGGTCATTGTGAGAAGCGGCACCTCCGAGGGAGATGAAAAATTGGGGGTTTAAACAGCCTACGGTTAACGCCACGTATTTTTGAAGAAGAAAATAAAAAATTGCCTTTTTTATAAGCGCTGTTATCAAATAAATCTCCTTAACCTTCCTCTCAGATAATAATTTTAATATTTCCATTCAGCAGATGCATTTTATGCAACATACAGTTTCTGCTAGTATATAGTATAAATAAAATGAGAGTAAGGATGTTTGACGAATATCTCCTAGATGACAGTACCGATATTAATGATCGTCACGTCAGAGGTAGATTACGGGCCAACTTCGCACACCACTTTGATAGTCGGCTATAAATATGCCATGATACTCAGAAGAACAGTATGCTCTGGATTAATCTGTTTTGAGATCAAATTCTTAGATTTGAATGTAATTGTCAACAATAAAAGCCAGACAATCGTTTTACGCTTCAAAGATTGGATCAAGCTTCTGCGACTTTTGAATGGTTGCTTAGAATTGTAATTAAATTCGCAGATCTCAGTGAAGCGGATAAGTTATAATGTCAAAAAGGTAGGTCAAAAAAAGTAAAAGTTTTTTTCCTCATTCGATTTCATTAGTCATTACACACCACGAATATACCTTCAACTGATTTACCTGTTAAGTTTAGCTCAGAGCCAGCATTGCCACTGTCTCTGAAGCGACTCGGGGGAGGGGGGTGTCTAGGCTTCGCATATCGTTGATGGCAGAGCAATGACGAATTCAGCCGCTGTTCAGAGGAGAGTTCTAGCGGCCGACTTTTTTTGTGTGTGTGTTTTTTTTTCGGTAAATATCATGCAAATTGCGGTGCAGTAACACAACAAAGAGCCGCGGGCCCCGCGCGATCTTCCCTTCCTTTTCATTGTCCTTCCTCTATCATCTCCCTACATACACCCTTTTTATGTACACGCATTGCACTTCCTCACATGTCGGAAGGACAGTATGGAGCTTCAAACGTGCTTGACTGAGGCTGTCTCCTGGTACGGATGGATACTGCAAGGAGGGGAGCTCTCTTCATGCCAACGTGTAGGTCGGCGCCGGATCCCCCGCCACCTTCCGGGGCAAAACCTTCTCCATACAAATGGGACTAATGACCATAGCAGTTGACGTGCCCTCAAACGTCAACTCATCAGCCAATCCATCCAACTGGTCAGCGCACCGCATATTTTCCATATTTTCTCCGATTAATGTCTTACGAATGCCGGACAAATAACCTAACAAGGGGCTACGAGTCCCACGCGATCTTTCCTTCATTTTCCTTGTCCTCTCATCTTCCCACATACACACACACACACACACACACACACACACTTTTCATTTACCCGCATTACGCTTCCTCAAGTGTCGGAAGAACAGTCGGGAACTTAGAACGTGCTACAGCTGGGGCTAATCTGGTACAGATACGGATGGGTACTTCGAGGGGGAATTGTCAAGTCAACATGTCAAGTCGACGTCGGATCTCATACCCCATGGGGAGGAACATCGCTTTAAATATTATACACCGCCCATACAAATGATACTAATGACCATAGCAGTTGACGTGCGACAAAACATCACTTCATCCTCCGATCGACCCAACTGACTACCGCAACGGCCAACCCACTGCCTCCCCGCCGCCACGTGCGGAACGCCCCCGTCGCGCCGTGACGTCGCGTGCCCCAGCGCCGCCAGCGCGGTGCGTCCGCGAGTCATCCGCTGTTCGCGGAACGCCGCTCCGCGTGCGCGCGCGCGTGATCGCGCGTGCGCGAGGCGATGACTCCCGCGGTGGGGCAATCACGCACGCGCGCGCGTGGAAGCCTGCCACGAAATGCGCCCCCGATAGTTGGCGAGCGTTATTATAGAAAATAGGGTCGAGGCGCGCGCCGTCATTTTCCAGGAGAAGGAGAAATAATCGCGCCATTATTTTGGGCTGATGCGTCGCGGTGTTTCGTCGCACTTGGGAACGGACGGGAAGGGGTAAATGCATTTGATCATTTGGAAGCTGATTTTTAAATTTAGAATGCCCTCCACATATCTAGGGCATATCTTCTTTATTACTGAACAAAATGTTTAAAATGTTTTCAGTTATATGCGTAGTACGGGAAAATAGTAAGTAAAGGCTTGCGTTTGAAGCAATTATTAAAATTTGTTAAAAATAACTTGATGCGTCTCTGCCAATAATGATATCCATCTAAGTTGTTATTAGTCTCAGATGATATGTTTCATTAATTTGCGTGCTTTATATATCCTAATTAAGATGCCCAGTCCATAAAACGACTGAAAATTGTTTGCACGAAATAAGAATTTGGAATATGAGTAGTAGTTTCCACTTTAAATAATTGACACTCAAAAGTACTTTCTAGTAATAGTAATTTTTGTGTATTTGATTACTTTCTAGTCAGGTCTTTGTTCAATACAAACACAGTATCTTCACGTATTACGTCATTGAACTTGGAAGCTGTAGAATTGAAGGTGCAGATACCTTGAGCGCTGGATCTTTGCCACAATTCTCGCATGTTTTTCATTGCAATGCTCATGGACTCAAGGTGTTACAATCACCCTGATAATCAAAAGCCAAATACTAATTACCTGTTAAGCAAGACCCGGAGGTAGCATTAAGATGACTCAGATCGGAAAGCTGTTAATTCAAATCGAACAGAAAAAAACATTAATTTTTGGGGGCCCATTTTAAAGTTTGTTAAAATAAATAAATGTTAACAAAGCTATCGTTTTCAAATTACTGTCTGTTAAAAGATAGAGGTACTCTAGAAAAGTGAAAGACTTCTAAAATGCTTTGAAATGTTTTCCTAATGGAAATAACAAAGCACAAACACATCGTTATAAAAAGTGTTTACCACTTCCCTTTCGACGCAAAATCCTTTGTGGGTCAACTCGATTTTCGGAACACTAGTCCATTCTGGTAAATATTTACAGCATTCCAGTCGTAAGAGTCAAAGACATTTAATTTTGCAGCCACATCCCTGAATGAAGATGCGCAATTCTATTTCGGCCATAAACTGGAGTGTAACCGTGATTTTGTGTTGCCCTTGGCATATAAAGTAAATTATCGTGTGACGAAACAACAAAGAACTCTTGTTGAAATGTGATTAAAAAAGGGTATATTGAAAATAATACAATCTCAGATGTATTAAATAAACTTAATAAAGGATTAAATTTATTCTAATGAAAATTAAATGTTAATTTGTCGACAACAAAAGGAAGACTTATATCAAAAACATTACGAAATGAAACGAAACGAAACAAAACATTATGGGACTTCCCAATAGTTAAGAATTCTTTGCAACATTGCAAAATATAGCCATTACTACCCATTTCACCCAAAAAAGTTATGCGAAATCTTATGTTATGTGCATCTTTGCTCGGTTTATGGACTCATTTTTTCCGCTGTTTCACTTTGCCCAGAAAATGCAAAACCACTAAGAAAATTCCAATAGTTCTTATTTCGCGAATGAAGCCGTGCGCTCCCGCGGACACAGTACTTGGGATGAAGAGATGATTGTGGAGACACGAGAAGGGAAACACATGTCAATAGCTTTACTTAAAAAATATCATATCAACTGATGTCAGTGCAGTTCCTCTGACTGAGACGGCCGTAGGCTCGAGTCCCGACGGTGACAGGATTTTCGACACTAGCTAGATCGAATTCAGCCGCTATTTGGAGGAGAATTCTAGCTGCCGGCTGCTCTCGTCGGTAGTTTTCCAAGGCCTCTCTGATCGAATCTCGTCGTAATGTGGACCCAAACACTAAGAATCGGGCTAGGGACAGTGCTATTTTTCTTTCCTCTTCCTTGTCTTATCCTCACCCCTTACTTGCACACACCTACACTTACAGGAACTGCCCTACCACAAATGTGGAGAACTTAGAGTTTGTCCCGGCTGGAGCAGTGCCATGCTGGTGGAAGAAACCTGGTTGGGGATACCCTTCAAGCCGACATGGAGGTTGGCTTAAGATCTCACCATCCAGCCTCCCGTGAAAAATATGCGTCGTACTTAAGGGACTAATGACCATAGTAGTTGACGCACTCGGAAACAAAGTAATGAATAAATTAATTAAAATATCAAAAGGTATCGGATGCAATTGCATTTCGTCCAGAAACGGTATGCGAAAGTAAAAACAATGTGCAAATCCCAATAGTGGTTGGACCGCGCCTGAAATAGCCCGCC